GATATTTCAAGTTTGTATTTTTTTATTTCTATAAAATCCCTTAGGAAATATGAATTACTATGTACACCCAAATTAATTCAGTTCAGAAATAGAGAAACAAGATTTTAAAATGCAAATTAAACTCTGAAATAATGGGAATACAAAAGCATAGCCAAGAGATGTTGGACAGAGCAATACTGAGTACTACTGTGCTCCTTCATGGTTTCCAAGTTGAAGGTTTTCCAAAGGAAGCTATAAAGGCAATAATGAAGGTTGATTTAAATATTTATTTTATTTATCATGAGTTTTTTTATGATGCGTCAATCAGCTGACTCTAAGTGGCTTATTATCTGTTTTCCATGTTCCATGAAGTTGTTTTCTGTTTTCCCATGGTTTCTGAATTTGTTTAAATATTTTGTATTTTTAATCTATTTTTTTTTTAAAATAAATCACTAAGGATCAGATTGAAGTAATGTAGAAATTAAAGTAAGAAAATAAACAACCAAGCAAACATTTTCTATATCCTTTTTAATTATTCGTTTTACTATATTTTAATAGGTTGTCTCAATGTTCATGTTTTCTTTGTTTTGGGTATATTTCAATTATTGCTGCATTTTAAGGTTTTTCTATTATATAATTATTTACTTTTATATGCATAATACTTAAAAACTCATTTTATGTGCTTCTTATATTTGTAAATAGTAAATAACTTAATATAACAAAGTTTAACTAGCTTATACAATTTAAGGATGTAAAACTAGGGATCTGAGACTAAAACTAGCCTCAAAGAAATTAACAAAATTCTTAGTAATTTATTGTTTCTACACACATGTACACATGGTTATGTATTTCAGTCACTTTTTCCAAAGGGCTTGTTGTTTTTGTTTGCAATAACACTAAAAGAGGCTCCCCTGTATTAAAAGGTTTCCTACATCTGCCAGGGAAAAATGATGTTCTCACTGGGAGAGAAAGGACAATAAATCTATTGCTTACATTTTTGCAGCAGCTAGATGAGCTTCTAGGCAAATTTGAGAAAAACTGTTTTGAAGCAAGTCTAAAAAAATCAGCATCTATCTGAACTACATCTTCTCTCTGAGTCACTAGTGATGGAAAAATGCTGAAAAGATTGCAGAAAATTTGATTTGAAGAATGGATCTTTTCTTAAAGTCCTTTAAAACCTATGAGTCTTCTTCTACCACATTCAGATTAACAACCACCACCACCAATGTCTGGCTTAATTTGCAGAAGGAGGTAGAGAAGTTCTCGCAATGCAATGAATGACACTACTGGCAACTCATTTCCAACACAGTTTGGTGTATTCACTCAAGTTACCATAACTTCCAAAATGTATTCCACCAGCTGCTATGGCGGTAGCTGCCTAATTGCAGACATGTTCCAATAACATAGCTTTTACACAACTTTTAATCAGCACTAAAAAAATAACTGGTTATTTTTGTGTAATTTTCCTGAGAGTTTCATAGAAAGCTCTCATAGAGTTTTATTATTACAAAGATTCTACTGCAAAGAATTTATACCCAGTAATCACTAAATCTTATCTGAACATCATCACTAGTATTATTTCAATTATCTCCAAAGGAGACTAGAAATAAATGTAAGAACTTTGATTTTTTTTTCTTATAAAACAACTAATTGAAGCAGCATTTACACAAAAAATATGTAACTGTTATTATTTTATGTTTTTACACAAAAGAATCTGACATAAAATTTAAAACATTCAAATAAGAGCTGAAGTTGTTTGAAATTATTCAAGTTGGTAAGCAGAGAAATTAAATGTACTTTAGTGCCAATCTTGGATCAGCAAGTTAGCACACAATTTCAACATTATTTGTTGAATTATTTCAATATTATTCTGTGTGTTAATTGTTAATTTATTTTAGACTATTGAAATTGCAAGCTTTTTATAGTAAGACAATCTTATAAGGAGAAAATATAAATGAGTGAAATACTTGTACCTATAGGATTACAACAGATTTTAAACATCAAAAATTATACTTACCTAAGAGTCACTTTATTTGCTTAGTCATTTACAAAATCTAACCTTGCAATTGAGTGTCTGATTCTTTAGAAATAAGTCCCACATATGTCAGTGATATTCATTCACTTATCAACAAATAAGGGCAGGATCTTACTGCTATTATTGTTGCTGTTGTACCAGTGTTCTTCTCAAGTATCACTTCAATATTCAGTAATTTAGTTTTTTCCTATAGAAATATGAACTAAGTGATTGCCTAAAAACCCTTTCAAGAAGTAGAATTTAACTATATTTATGCTGTGTTTGTGCTAAAATTAGAAACAGTTTGATTTGTGTCTGCTCTAGCATTGGTTGTGGCTGGATATACTGCATTGCTAGTTGGCTTTATTCCTGAATGTCTAGCATTTCTGAAATTCACTCAGGGCAACTCTCTCTCTCTCTCTCCCCTTTCCTATTCTTAAAGACCTCTCTCTGTAGGGATAACCCACAGTGTGAGACTCAATGCTTTAGCATGCTATTAAGTTATTGCCACCCCTAAGGACAACTCTGCAAGGAGGATGAGGACTCACATAACTCTGAATCAATAAAGGAAGCAGCTCAATTAGCATTTCACATGCTTTTCTTCCCTCTCTTCTTACCTTCCCTGCAGTGGGCATGCTTTCCCCTTAAAGGATTGTCCTGTTTCTGCTCGTTGCCAGCGTTGGCAGGGTGACAGTAGTCGAGTGTGCAAACTTGTGCTATTGTCCCCAGGCCAGGGGGAGTCATGGAGACCCACTAATATGACACAGGAAAATGTTTGCTGATGGCAATTCTATGGGCTTTGTCTAACTCTTTCTCCATCATGACGACTCGATTTAAGTCTCTAACTGTTTGACTACAGATGCAAGAGTACTATCCAACTCCATCCTTTTGTCCGGATAGTTTGAATGGGTAATTCAGCTTTTGTGTGGCTCAATTGAGGGGGCAAACATAAAGACAAGATTCTTGAGCGCTCAAGCTTCTTTTCCATGGATATCTGCACATCTCTTTTGAGATTTGTTCTTTTCTTACCTTTTTCTGACATCACCCTCCCTTTAAGTGGGGGGAAAGGCCTGATCAAGAACAGTTTAAAAAGTAGGCTAGCCAGGTCTTCCAAACTAGCATTGTCCAGTGTTACTCAAGCATGGTTACTGCCAGTCTTCAGACAGCTTTGGAGTAGTTTAGAGAAAAGCGCCTCAACAAGCTTTCTTTACTCATCCTCAGCATATCATGTTTGATTGTGTTTAAAAAAGGGGAGGAGGGGGTTGGAACAGAAAGAATGGTAGGAATCACAGGGAAATGATCGTATTTATTAGCTGTCTTTCTGTGGCTGTCCCCATGGTGACAATTTGTGATGGCAAAGAATGTGAGAACAGGGAGCCTAATGCCTGATTGGGATGCTTTGTATTTGGCAAAGTGGCTTCTGATTGGCCTGAGAAAGCCTCCTAACTAGAAGGGATTGATATTCATTCAGCTTACTCAAGTGCTGCAAAACACTCACAGGGTCCGGCTGCTTCTCTAAAGGTTGGTAGTATCTAACCTATGTAACAAGATTAGCTGGTGAGCTGCTTCTTCTCTATCACAGAGTTACAGTAACACTCAATGTTTAAGAGAGAATCTTGCTGGGAAGGGTGTAATTTAACTTGGAAGGCCATGAAAATGATGCACAGATATCTATTCAAAAGTTAAATATTACCTGTCTAGTAAGATTAAGTAGTAGGGCCACAGTCATAGCAAGTATAAGACTGGAATAAGGGAAACAGAATATATTGAGGTATATAGTAATGTTTGTACATATGATATAGTTGTATTATTAAGCTGTAAATGTGTAGGATCATTATAAACAAATATGTATACAATACTGCAAGACCTTTGTGGAGATCATGATCCTGCAAGAGAGGAAAGCATTGAAACAATGTATATACTGAATGAATGAATTATTTGAAACAAATGTTTGTCTCACTTCTGCAGGTCTGCCTTTGTGCCCAGCATATTTTAGTGTGTGTGTATTGTGTGTGGTAGAGAATAAGAGAGTAAGAATATTTAGGCATTTAAAGACTGAAATCTTAAATATGTTTATCTGGTTCCACTGAATACATCACAGTTTATACAATTGCATTATTAAGTTGAAAGAGTTTTGGAGGTATATGTGAAGCTGTAATAGTATTAAAACTAGGGGGTTTTGTGCAAAGCTGAGTATAGTATGAAGATGATCATTACAGATATGTGAAAAGGAATGTGAATTATTTCTTCAGGAATTGTCACGTGTGAAAATAAAAGTGCATTTTAGTCTTTGTTACCCTATTTGTGTAGATATGTGGAATGTCAATGAGAGGACAGAAGGTGGAGGGGGCTTTTTAATACTATGTTTAAACTGAATGCAACAGTGTGTGAACAATGAAAAAAACTTTTTAAGGACTTTAAAATATACAATATAACTTTTATAAGATGAAAAATATAATTAGCCACTTCAGTATTGTGGGAGGCAAGTATATCACTGAAAGCATTCAAAAATGCATTTGCATCCCTAACAATAGAGACTTCGAGACTAAGTTTTTAATCAGGCATTCACTCCGCCTCATCCTTTAATTCCATGAGAGGTCCACCCATGACTATTTTTAAGCTGTATCTTCCCAATGATTCCCTCCCCCTTTTTTTTCCCGTTACCAGAAAAAAATCAAGGGGAAGCCGCAACGCATTTTGACCAATAACTCTTGGAGCGGTCTTTTTGGGAGCCTCCAGTATGGCGTGAAAGTACAATCTGAGCGAAATGCACGTGCGGACCTACCTACCTTTCTGTGTTACCACCCCTCTTCCACCTGGGAAAAGCGGCACGATGTTCCTGCCAAGGCTAATAAACATTCCCCCGCCATCCCACTTAGCCTAAGCCAACCGACCGTCGCCTCGGATTAGGCCGTCGTCCCAGGAGCGCGCCGGCTCTCCGGGAGCCAACCCTTTCATGGACGGGCCCTTCTTCCTCGCCTCTTCGTATCCGCGGCCGGTGTGAGCGATGGCTTCGACAGACAGCGAGGTGAAAACCCTCCTCAACTTCGTCAACTTGGCCTCGAGCGACATCAAGGCCGCCCTGGACAAGTCGGCCCCCTGCCGCCGCTCCGTAGACCACAGAAAATACCTGCAGAAGCAGCTCAAGCGCTTTTCCCAGAAATATTCCCGCCTGCCCCGCTGCCACCACCACCACCTGCAGCCGCAGTTGCCTCCCGCTCGGGAGCGGAGACCGCCGGAAGGGAGGGCACGGGGCCTGAGCCCCGAGAGTTCGGTAGGCCGAGGCCACGCTGCCTCCGGGGCGGCCAAGGGCGACAAGGCCTCCCAGGCCCCAGAGCGCCTCGGCGGTGAGGAGGAGCAGCAGCAGCAACAACAGCCGGGAGCCTCGGAGGCAGGGGCCAGGCCCGACCAAGTGCCCATGAGGAAAAGGCAACTGCCCGCTTCTTTTTGGGAAGAACCCCGGCCTGCTCCGGGCTCCCCCGGTGTTGTAGGTGGCGTGATCTTTCCAATGGGAGTGTGCTCCTCGCCCTCTTCTTCCTCGTCATCCTCCAAAGACCTGCCTCCTTACGAGGGAAAGAAAAATAAAATAGGCCTCGACGGCGGCGGCGGCGGCACTGGCACGGCTCTCGAGAGCCCCCCGCGCAGGCCAGAGGCCGAGGCCACCAAAGGACTGAGGACCTGGGGCTGCTGTCCATTTCAGTACCACGGTCCGCAGGCCTCCCCCGGCCTCTACCCGCCCCCGCTGCCTGCCGCCCTACCCCCCGCGGCCCCCTTCTCGGCTCTGGGTTTGTGGCGGAAAGATGCGCCTTCCCCGACGGAGGGCGAGGCCTTCTGCCAGCCAGGGCAGAAAGTGTATCGGCCTGTAGTGTGGAAGCCCATCCCCACCAAGCCCGCCGCCGCGCCACCCCTCATCTTTAGCGTCTTCAGTTATCTTTAGCTTAGCAGCTCCCTTCAACTTGCAAGGGCATCACTTCTCAATCATCAGGTTACTCACAGTGCTGATTTTGAAACAGTGCCTTAGGCTACTTCCAGAGCTTGAAAAAAAAAACAGCTGATCTGCTCTTTAATCTCAGGTCCCCCTGCTCTGGAAATACATCAGGGAATACAAAAAGCAAGGAAAGCGTGAAAGGGTGTTGGAATCAACCCAGTGTTGATTTATCAGGTCTCCTTCTATGTTCTCTTGGTGACCTTGGGCCAATGATCTCCAAACTTGATTTACCTGGCAAAGATGTTGTGAAGGCAAAATATGCATGTGTGGGATTTGAAATGTATACCACTTGAGTTGTTTGAAAGAAGGGCGGGATAAAAAGGGTGGCATACTACTAATAAAATTAAAAATAAACTACACTTTAGTCTGGTGATTGAATCTCCCTGCCTGAGTTAGCAAGAAAGAATTAATAACAAATTGTGAGTAATGAAATTATTCAAGGGGCAGGGGGTTTGCCTTGTCTGCATTGCTAAAAAAGGTCATGTAAGAAAATGTAATACACACTTCTGTAAATAAGGATGCTGTGGTTTTTCCCCCTTGACATGTAAATACTAAGACTGTTACAACAAACAAAAATAAATCCCATACAATTTTTCCTTTGAGTCTCTACTGTTAAATGTCTTCAGGTGGAAAAATGTCATCTTTTTAGGAAGAAAGGAGAGAATTGTTTTATTCCCATTCAAATGCATCAATTGTTTTTAATCTATAGCCCATCAGTTGTTAATTGTGGATAGGAGGTTCTGTTAGCAAAAATGTCCTTGGTTTTTTTTTAACTGAATGATTCTCTGAAATTTCGTCATTTAAAACCAAGAAGCCTTGCACTACTCTCAACCCATGTATTTGAAACAATCATTTATAGTAAGGCTGATGATCACGACTTTATTATTTATACATTTTAGTGGTACAGAATAAACAATATGGGATTTTTTTTCTACGACATGGATACTCCTGTCAATATGAAAAAATATTTGTATGTTTAAAAAACAGGTTCATTTCCTTAATTTCTAAATCAAAGTGCTTTAGACGCAGATATTAGAAATGTACTGACTGAACTCCTAGACCAGTTACAGTAAGCAGTTTTAGATGAACCAATAAAACTGTGCCATACAATTAACCTTTGAGAAGTAGGGAAGCAGCAGAATAAATGCTATTATGAAAGCTACTTTACACTTCAGATATTTCACTTGTGATTCAGCTGCTATTATAATTCTCATTCTTTTGAAAATAGCATTTGCATGAACTGGCAAGAGACCAATACACTAAGCTACTAATAAATGAATTTCCAACTACATGTTACAGCTTTGTTTAAGCTGCAAATCCAATGATATGAAACAGATCTTGACTAAAATTGGACTGGATTGGGGAATATTGGAAGCAGATGAAATACAAATATCTTACAAAAGTGAGGTTTTGTTTTTTTTGAAAGGGTATTTTTAAAGGGAATCTATATAATTTTGTTAAAAGATGCATTTGAATACTGTTTTGATAGGCATTAGTACAATGTCTGGTGGCCTTCCCAGAGGCTCCCAGTTGCCTTCAGTATAAAAAAGACATGTCCTATGGTTTGATCTAGCATTTTTTTGTAATTTTAATAGCCCCATTGCACAAGAGTTGCAGGCATGTAATACCTTGATATCAGTGGTGGGATTCAAATATGTGAGCAACCGGTTCTCTGTGTGAATGCCACTTCCAGAAGTCCATTCTGAGCCTGGGCAACAAAAAATTAGCTACCGGTTCTGCTGAAGTGGTGCGAACCGGCTGAATCCCACCACTGCGTGATCTGTATTCTGATTATTTCCCCAATTGAGTTGTTCATTTCATGAATATGGAATAACTTTTAGGGAAAATAGCTACCATTTATATAGTATCCCTATTTTTCATGTTTATTTCTCAGCATAAATTTCCAATGTTTCAACTTTTCAAAATTCTCTTTTTTAGCAACTTGATTATGTCAGGATTAATTTCTTTAATGCTTGTGTATATTTGCTACACTCCAGAGTTTTCCCATTGGAATAATGCCATATGATGTTGCAATTGAAAAGTTTAGATTTATCCGTAAGAAATTATTCTTACTCTTTCAAGGAACTATTTAAGAATAACTACACTTTAGTTTATTACATTTTGCAGATTGCGGCAAACCAAGTATAAATCAGAGCATATATAGGTAGCAGTAGCAATAGCACTTGGACTTATATAGTGCTTCACAGTGCTTTACTGGTCCGTGGCATTACAGAAACCAGGCCATGCAAAAAAGCGAAGCCTCATCTGGGGGATGCAGGCAGCATATGAAACCACGCTCCTGCTGGTCCGCAGAAAAACCTCTCTCCACAGGACCAGTCCTGTGATTTACAGAGTCAGCATATTGCCCCCAACAACCTGGGTCCTCATTTTACTGACCTTGGAAGGATGGAAGGCTGAGAATCGAGCCGGTGAGAATCGAACTGTCAAAATGCTGGCAGTCAGCCGAATTACAGTACTGCATTCTAACCACTGTGCCATCACCACTAGTCCTTGTTTAGCAAGTACAATAGGGACTAGCAATTTGGCTGTATGCAAAGAGATTGCTAACTGAAATTGTGACTGTCCTTAAGATTTTACTTCAGCTTCCTGTGCTTTATAGATCTAGGATGCTCATAAACGTGGGGACTGATTGCAAAATTACTTTTTATCACTGTTGTAACCACAGTCACTATATGAGGCAGTCACTAAATGAGGAGTGCTGTAGTGTGCATGTGTATTTCATGAGTTCAAACCTAAGTATAAAAAAATTATACTCCATGTGCTGTACTTACTATATAGAATAAGAACAGCTGTGGTATGGTTTTAACAAGTCATTTCATCATTAGATGTTCTGTTTGCAAGAAATTCTCCCCTACATAGGTTTGTGCTGTTCTATTTGCAAAGACTTATACTTTCAATGGTCTCCCTCTATGACTGCACATGTATCAAATAATATGCCTTCAAAAAAATTTAAAATGAAAACAATTGTCAAGATACTAATTTCTTAAATTTTTCTTTGTGCCCTTTGTGCAAATGTATGGTTTAAACGGTCTCTCTTGGTCATTTGTGATAAGTGAAAATAACACTATGGCACTAGACAATGACATTTTAATTAACTGGGGAAAAGATCACTTTTTTCAGGCTTTTAACGTGGGCATATATACTGGTAAAAACAGAACTTATGAAGGCTTATATTTCAGTGCCATGTTCTGTGTTGGGTGTGGAAAATGGAAGAGATATCTCAGGAGACATGTTCCATACTATGTCATTGGTTGGGATTCTGGCATCTGATGTCTGCTTAAATTTATTACATCATCTGAAATATTATTTGGTCCATCAAGTATTAGTGAGCAGAGGAATGTATATAAACCTGTTCTTATTTCAACGTCCCTGTTTACTCAAGGAACTTTCCTACTCGCGGTGATAGAAGAATCAGTTCTGCGAGCACAATGTTTTATAAGATCACTAGAGAAGACAACCCATGTCACACTTTATGAACACATAACATTTACACAATATCAAATAAATTGAACTTATATTTATAAATTAGAGTTAGAGAAACATGGTAGCCAAATGTACCTGGAAATGCAGTTTCCATTGCAAGGGTCTGATAGATTATATTGTGTTAAAACATTTTACAGGCCAGAATTATCTAGACCCTCCCTCTCCTTCTATATTTATTTCATTTAACATATATGTAGTGTGTATACTCCTTTCAGAAATGTCTTAAAAGTAAAAATGCAGTGCAATTAATTTTAGTCAAATTTAATGCAAACAACAACACCTAAAACACAGTGCTTTTAAAATATCGGCACACTGATCCCTCCCAGACTGATCTCCAGTTTATTAAAAAAAACTATTGTTAACATAACAAAAATCTCAAAAATACATTGTAATATAGTTTAGACACACATTTATAAAATAATAGATCAAACAGGGTAATGTTAATAGAATAAATGTCTATGGAGATTCTCAGTCATCCAAGTCATAGCTATCCCTCGTGTTAATAGAATAGTTTACAAAAATCTTAAAATGTTCTTTGTATATGATATAGAGCATAATAACAGGTTCTTTCTGTCTTCAACACGGTTAGATAAAGCATGGAACTGTGAAGCTTATTTTAAAGTTCTAAATATTCTTAACTTTAAGATTTACAATAATATTTTGTATTTGTATAAAACAATATAATTTGAACAGATTTGATAAAATTGGTGAATTCTTTTTAAAAAAATCACAAAATCACTGGAGCAGTAGAAAGCTTATCCACCATTATACTTGTATTGCCCTGGAGCAGGCCAGTATATAGAAAATTGAGCAGAGAATTCATATTATTTTACATATGTTAAACCAGTGTTAAGGCATTACTCAGCTAATACACCTTTGTAAACCCAGCCCAGCAGATTTCTTGAAAATCTTTTTGTGCAATTATGTATTGCTGGATTAAGAGTGATTAAGAGAGGTAGCATGCAGAATGTGCAAATAAATGTAAAGTATTTTTTTTTAAATAGCAAGAAATAATGAAGTGAAAGGACAACTCTCAAAGGGACTTTTAATGATAATTTCCTCCTCATTTTATGGCATCCATTGGAGTTAATTCTGGTTATGAGAGTGAGGAATTCAAATTGACAATTTATCTCTGTATGTATAATGAGAAAAACTAGGAAGCCTTTTTAATGCTTCTTGGATATGTAATATGTGAACATATCCCTAAAAAGAATGAATCAACTAGATTTTTCAGCTTGTATATTTTTATGAATTGGTGCTATCCTCAAAAATGTCATATTAAAGTGATTCAATATATATATATGTAAAAGTTAATCATGGAACTGCAATATTGTGAATATTAAGCCAGTTATATCTCCATGATGTCCTACAGTTTATTTCAGATATTTCTGCAAAGCACTCTTGAAATGCATATAATGAACTTAGCTTAAATCTGTTTGAATTAATTTAGATGCAGTATCATTAAGCTTCTTAGTTATCATATTTATGAAGCAAACATGAATTATACCAATTGAAGCACTTTTTATATATACTTCAGGGACCCATATAGATGATCTGAATTAGAAAGATGAATCCTTTCTCATGGAAGTATTAATTGTTAAGAGGATGTAAGTTAAGATATCTACAATATAACATCCATGAGGATAAATTTTTCTTCTAATAACTTAATGCCACTAAATTATTTCCCTAAAAGTATACAATGACACCAAATCAGAGTTTCATTTAAAAAAACACCATAGTGCTGCTAAGTCATTGCTTACATATTGGTCATTACAACTATTCTAATGAAAGCCAATTAGACATAATCTAATTAAGCAATAGGGTTCTCAATTCATAACCCTGTTAAGCTAAATTATTTATTCTGAAATTAACCTAGTGGTTTTGCAATGATGCAATTCACTATTATTGTTTTTCATCAATAGCAGATCAAGAATTTTCTTCTGAAGTCTTTCTGAAGCAACACAGGATTTGAATCTATTCTCCCCTTCAAAGCTGTTAAAACAGTGTTAAATACCATGGGTTTCAGTGACATTAATCCTCATAACTAATGTATGTACATATATCTATAAAATATTATACAGATCTATACATCTGAGTTAAATGTTGTGTTCTTATTTCCTGTAAGTTAAATTCTTCGATATCTTTCATTTCTTCAAGTCCAGTATTTGCAAAATTGCTTAACCAGGAACAAGAAAGTAATGTTAAATGTTTTTCTAAATAAGAATAAAAGGCTAAATGTTAAACTATATGGGAAAACATGAAACTATAGTGATGTAGAATAGAACAGCCAAACATTGGGTAAATTCAGCAAACTGAAGTAAAATAAAATACAACCCCAAAACTGAAATGTTATTCTGATTTAACAATTATTGGGCTTCTTTTAATCTTTGCATTGAATCAAGATGGTTTTGCTACATGACTATTGACAAAATACATTTGTTATCCATATGAATGAGTAAACCTGCTAATGCCTGTTAACACAATGATCAGATATGTCAACAGACACAAAATCCAGCATATTATACAGTTGGCAGCAAGATTTATAATTGCTGCAAACGAAAAAAAACCTGATTGATGTCACTATGAATGATTATAGTGTGATCGTCTGCATAATTCATTGCATTTACCTATATGGAGAGAGATAACTTTTGCTACCTCCTCCTTATATCTTGTTATGAATAATTTAGGCTTACAATATGCATGTTTATTTTTCACTAGAACTGTGAGGTCCGTCAACCAGAATCAAGTACAAAGTAACAGCTCAAGAAGGCAGATTTAGAACTACTGGACACATGCCCAGATCAGGAATTTCTTTTTGGTAGTAGAACTGGAGGTTGTGCATATGTTCTTTCACATCATAAGAACCTCCTATTTTCTTCCAAGCTTTTAAACATTTATTTAACAGTTTAATTAAGGAGGAAAAAGGTTTTCTGTCATCATTGTTAAACCAGTGAGAATTGGAAGTTCTTGGTGACATGCAGATCACCTGGATATTTATTGGTAGAATACAATCTACATTTTACTCTGCCTGCATTTTGTAAAGGGTTGTACTAAATGTTGAGCTACTGAGAGTGTTTTTCCTTGCAAGATAGCATAATATCCCCTTCACTATTTGCTGACTGCTTTATTCTCATTTTTTTCAGCTCTTTCCCATACTCTAAATGCTGTTGCATTTGTTCCGAGATTTAACTTGCAGGAATCCTTATTTTTTCTTCTTACATACCAAAACAAGTTTTCTGTTCCATCATAACAATCTGTTTCCATCATGACAGCTCGCCCTATAATACACATGATTATCACTCCATATAATATTTGAATGTCAGGTTCACCTGAGATCACTGGGTAAAATCATATTGTAAATAACGAATTAGTCTTCTTGGCAGAGGTAGAGTCTCAATAAGTGAAAGACGGTTTTTTCCAATCACAATTCGAATTTTGATTCGACAAAGGTGTGCAAGTGGCCTTGGTGGCTCTGGAAATGAAACAATATTGTCAGGTATATAAGTAAACAAGTAAGCAAGCAAGTAGCATGTTATATTTATACTACTTTTGGCCTAAAATAGTTCTCTACGAGCTAACATTTTTTTCATAAAAACTTGAGTATATATTTCAAAGGTACTGTACCACAAACATACTTTAAAAAACTAGGGACTTTTTAAATAAAATAACTAAATATGAATGGTTAAAATGTGTGCATATCTCAATTTAGTAAGATAATATTCAGGACTTAACAGAACAACAGATTAACAGAATAGCAGAGTTGGAAGGGACCTTGGAGGTCTTCTGGTCCAACTCCATGCTCAAGCAGAAGACCGTGCACCATTTCAGACAAATGGTTGTCCAATCTTTTCTTAAAAACATCCACTGATGAAACACCCATACACATATTTTAATAAAGTAATTTGAACAAGTAATCATTAGGTGGTATCTTCTGACAATCAGACTATAACTTATATAATGGTGTTCTTGTGAGTCATTGAGCTAACACTCAACATTGCTTGAATATTTTTTTCCTATATAGAAACTTTCATAAGTTGGCCCTTATTCGCATGTAAGAGTGTCATTGCATTTAGTAGTAACAGTTGCATTACAAAATATTACTGGTGTATTTGATTCTTGAATAATAGAAGTGCAAGCTCATATCGTAACTAACCTGCTTTGATTTTAATGTTGGACCAATCTTCATAACTGTCAATGTGTTCCTTCAACCGGGAACAAAGTTGCACATTGCCCACATAATCCAAAAGAACATCTATAATAGGGCCTGCCCAACGACTCATCTCTGGGGCTGAAACCATTTCACAAAACTGGGGTGGGTGGGGAAGAATAAATTATATAAAATCAATGCTGTAAATAATCCAAAAGGCTTAAGAAAATACAAGACATAACAGTATAGAACAGTTTCAAGTGTAATTATTTCACAGATACAATTTATTTTCTCAAGATATATGCTAGTAGCTTCAATGAATTAAATTCTAATGTAGAATTTATATACTCCTAGGAGAAGGGGCTAAAGGAGGAACTAGAGAGGATGTGGAAAGTAAAGGCCAAAGCGATTTCAATGGTTGTTGGACCTCTCAGGCTGTGCCTCCTAAGCTGGGAGAGTGGCTCCAACAGATCCCAGTAGTGTTAGGACCAGCTACGAAGCTGCACACAATCCTCAAACTGACAGTCTCAGTTGAAGGACAGAGATTGAGAAAGACATATATCACTCATAGGGGTGAGAAGGGAATTTGTATTAGCATTTGTTGTCTTATGTCAAATGAGGGATTACCTCATTTCTACTATGTTACACATTTAAAAAAGTTTAAAAATGTAAACATTTATTTATTTAATCAATTTCTATGGCTGCCCATCTTGCAAGAGCAACTTTGGGTAGCTAATCAAACTAAAACCCAATAGAAACAAAACAAGAACAATACCCCCAGAAGCCAATAATGATAAATATAAAAATACAGAGAATATATACACAGAATGGCACCAATGGCAACAATGAGCACTATAACAATTTCCATCTCACTGGCCACCTTAAACTTCCTAATCCTCATGCCCAGAAACAGCCATGTTTGTAAGACTTTCTAGACTGCTGACTGAATCAGGGCCAGATGGGTCTCAGGGGCATGATAATACTAGGCTCTTCTAACCTCAGTGTAAATGTGCACTAATTGTGTCTAAATCTAGATACACACTTTTGTTTTTCTCCAAAATGTTCAGAATGGTTTAGTTGAATGGATCCAGTGAAAAATATGTTTTTTGGATTGACATTCCAAATGAAAGAATTTCAGGCTATGTGTATTCCTTAATATATTTATACCTTTTTTAAAAAGAAATTGGAATGAAATATATTTGTAACTAAATCAAGATGAATCAAAGAAGTGTTTATCTTTATTAATATGATACAGTATGTGTCTGAATTCATATTTATAGCCTGTTTATTGTCCTTGAAAGTAATTTCTTTATTATTATTTTGGAAAAAATAGCATTAATTAATGATTTATTTCATCACAACAGAAAGGTGGGAGATTTTTAAAAAAAATTCAGAAGAGGAAATGCTACAGCATAGATGACCATTCTGCAGGAAAAGCTAAAATCTATTGATTCCTATATAAATCAACATAGGAACACCAAGATAGATACACAAAAGGAAATGGAAAAAACAGAATATTTAATGTTACCATTTAGGATTGGAAAGTGTGTTTTGGATTCTTTTCTGCATAAAAATCCATCTATTGTTTATTATATATGGGAAGGAAAGTTTATACTTGGCATTCAAAAATAAGACTGCCTGCAATCTGGAAGCTATTTAATACAAAATTCTGTCAGTCTAGGCCAATTCTCCACGGTCATCTCGCCATGGCCAACTTACTATGGGACAATCCACATGGGATAACTCAGTGTGATAAATATTATCCACCATTGTTTCTTCTATGTCAAGGGTCTTCAAACTTGGCCCTTTTATGACTTGTGGACTTCAACTCCCAGAATTCCTCAGCCAGGCATGCTGGCTAAGGAATTCTGGGAGTTGAAGTCTACAAGTCATAAAAGAGCCAAGTTTGAAGACCCCTGTTCTATGTTATTTCCATTTTTGTCAACGGAAATAATATTGAAAAAACAGTGGCAGATACTATTTATCGTGTTGAGTTGTCCCATGTGCAATTGTTCTGCAGCAAGTTGTCCTAGGGCTCCCATGGTAAGTTGGCGCAATGGTTGTCCCATTCGGGAATTCTGCTATCTTGCTCTGGAGCACTATAGATCATAATTAAGATATAGTCCTTATTGGGCTCTTGCAGATGGTTACAGTTCTTTTTCTACACATGAATTTATTGAAGTCTGGTATTCTACCAAAGGAGCAGTTAACAAACATATTGATCTAGATCCAGCATATGAATGTGTAATAAACTAGACCATTCGAACTACCAATCAACAAGAGAACCAACCAGCTGCTCAGAATTTAAATATAGCTCCAAACAAAAAACCAATCAGATGACCAACTGACCACATTGGCACACAAGACATTTTTAAGTTAAGGAAAATGGGACAAGAAAATCATGCTGATGATGTCACTTAGTCTGGTAATGAAACATTCAGAAACTAAATTGAAACAAGTTTGGAAAGTAAATCACTGCCAAAATATTAAGCAGTATTTATTTTTTGCTGAATTGTATATTATTTTAGCTATGTATTATATGCGTGCATAACAGCATCTAATGCAAGACTATAAAGGATCATTTTTTGTTCAATATGACTGTTCATATATCAATATGATATGCTTTCCAACATGCCAGCATCACCCAGAGAAAGAAACTATTGTTTCCATATTAATAATTCAACCAGTTTGTACTGAAAGGAAAATAAATATTTTGTAGATGTGTCGAATATTATTAGCTTAAAGGAGAACAATAATGCAAAAACATGTTACTGAAAAAAATTGTTACTTTCTATAAAGTAATTTAAATGCCCTCTAGTGGCAAATAAAATATCAGTAAAAGTCACATCCTATTTACTAAATATAGTGTACAAACATGTTTATTCTTTAACTTTTTGTATCAAAATTTCTACCAAATTAGACATTAGGTATCATAAGACTTAGAGGAATCCCAGAATTTACAGGGGGAAAAAACAAGACTTAAAGATGAAAAATAATAAAACAACTAACTATGTGTCAATACAAAAATACCTATTTCTAAACTAACAAAATGTTATTAATATGCTGGGTACCTAGCAGTGATAATTGACTGGGTTTTTTTTACTGATTTTGCTCTGTGTGAAATACACACAGATATTACTGAGTTAAGTTGATAATTTTTATTATGGAGACTATATTAAGTTTATCTATCTGCCACATGAAAATGGAGAGTAACCCTCTAATTTTTTTTTAATCATAATCTTCTGGACTAGAGTATCTGGGATGAATAGCAACTGCTATTTTCTCTGCTAAACAAAACCTTGTTTGTAGGAGATGGGATATGCATAAAGAGAAACGTGGAAACACAAAATACAGAAGACCTCAAACCTTTATTACGCAAATGCTATTCTTCCTGTTGTCCTCATCTATGTGTCTGTCTGTCTGTCTGTCTGTCTGTCTGTCTGTCTGTCTGTCTGTCTGTCTGTCTGTCTGTCTGTCTGTCTGTCTGTATGTATGTATGTATGTATGTATGTATGTATGTATGTATGTATGTATGTATATAGCTGCCCATCTCACATAAAGTAACTTAATATTAAAGTTGTGATTAATTCAGCTGTCCAGCAGCTAATAAGAAATTTGATTTCTGGAGGCTGGATGACATTGCCAAAGGCAAAGTACCCTGAATTTCTATGGGCTAGATAATAAGATGGGTTGATGTTGTTTAAACTGGAGAAACCAGAATTTAAATTTGTAAGTATTCTAAGAAAAAATACGTTGCTTACCTATGAGCTAGCTTTCCCATGTATTTCTCTAAATGTCATAGAAAAGTTGAGATAATAAAAATAAATTTACCTGTACAATTTTGTTATTGTTATTCACTGCAGGATCACTATACCTGTCCCTCCTAATATCAATAGGAGGATGTGGGCCACACCCATAACAACACGTAAAGCAAGAGTCGGCATCACAGCCCATATCCATCACAAATTTCAGCAGAGCAAGATACTTCATTGAAAACATTACAGTAGCAGGGAAAGTTGTAGGGTGAGAGGCAACGTAGGCATTAATGTTAGCTCCATAATCAAGAAGCAGTTTCATTGTCTTCAAACAGCCATGGCGGATGGAGATGAGCAATGGATTGATAAGGTCAACATTGGGATCAGCTCCAGCCTCAAGCAGCAGCTCAGTGGCATATACGTTGTTGTTGAAGACTGCAAAATACAGGATACTGGTGCGCCTGTCCTCATAGAGTCGGGAGCGCTCAAAAGANTCCCTCCCTCCCTCCCTCCCTCCCTCTCTCCCTCTCTCTCTCTCTCTCACACACACATACACACACACACACACATCATATTTTCATACACAAGTTATTGACAAAATATATTAGGGTTTATTCAGTGTTTATACAGTAGCCTGCAAAGAATTGCACAGACTTTAGTTGCTTCAAATAGTAACATCATTTTGTTGAATAAAAGTACAGAACACAGTTCCAGCCTCATTTCCAAGTCCCTGCTCTTTAGTTTCCCAGCCCTTGCATCTTGCACTTGCTTTTCTTAAAGAGACAACAGGATTTTTAAACAATTCTCCTCTGGCAGGGGTACATTACCTGTGGATGTGAATTTCTGTCCGCAGCATAGTCAGTACTTAGGAATGATGGGAGTGGTTTGTTGATATGTGAAAAGTACAAGTACATCTCCCCACTTATGTAGGGTATTAGGGAAAAAATAGATTTTCTCCCTGTTCATTCTCCTTGGATTGCATGAACATGACTGTGGTGAAGAGTAGGTGTGAGTAGATGTTTTCAGTATGTGAACTGCAAAAATCAGTGTTGTTCTTCAAGAACATCAGATTTACTGGTATGCGGAGTGCATTAATTGAAAAGATAGGAAGATATTATGAATGGTTAGAAAGTCAAGGCAATTACACTGGTTCATCTTTTGTTAGTATGACTTCTTTCTGTTCCTTGTCTTGTACCTTCACAAGGAAACTTTAGCTTTTAAAAACCTTGGAAACAGAAGCTTTTCTTGCCTTTATTTTTTATATTACTAATTCACAATAAATAACCATAATAACTCTTCAGCCACAATTTCATTCATAAAAGTGCATATATGGGATAGAGAAAGATATATATATATATATATATATATATATATATATATATATATATATATATATATATATATATATATATATATATATATATATATATATATATATATATATATATATATATATATTCAAAATATAAACTTGAATATCTTTGGGCATTCTAAATTGTATATGATCTGTGACATCCTAATTAATTTTTATTTAGATGATTTTTTTTGTGTCAGCTGCTGAGGTGAAGATAACTGGATTTTTTATTTTAACCTACAGTTTATGCACAATGAATCTTCATATGTTTAAACTGATCACCATACTGAAAAATAAAGAAGCAACTTACTCATAATAGCCTTTTTTGGAGGCCATGTGAATTGGTAAGAACCCATCCTTATTGGTTTTGTTAGCATCAGCACCTTGAGTCAAGAGAAATTCCACAATCTTCTCATGTCCATTTTTAGAAGCTTCATAGAGAGCTGAAGCTTTATCACTAGCTTGGGTATTGATATCAGCACCTGGGAATGAAAGAGGTGTAAAGCATAATCTCAACAGAGCTGGAATTTATAACAGCACATAGTTCTTTACCAGTATCCCTTTTCTAGTCCAATGAAAACATAAAGATTTCCATCAACTGCTTTATGCTTGTGAAGTGGTGGAAATCATGCAATAATTTGATTCAATGCACACAGAATAAATAAATTCACACTGTAAAGCATAATCTACTTGTATTTTCCAGCTGTTTATCTTCTTTTTTCAACTTAGCAGAAAAATCAGTTACGACAAAAGAGATGGTGTGGTTGCATGATCTCTTTTGAGTAGGGTTTCAAGAAGTCCTTTTTCTAGGAGTATCCCCATGAGGCCAATGGAATGACTGGGCCAAGTGTGGGGGAGATGGAGACAAAAAATGACTGGGACAGTTTTGTTCTTTGCAGATAAAGTTACTTGGTTGAGACTTAATTTGGTTAATATTAGATTAGATAAAGAGGATGTAGTCCTGGAAACTGTCCAGTTTTTTTTCTAGCTAGTAGATTGAAAGGAACTCTTGGGCCGAATGCTACTCTTTTTAATTAAGCCCATAACTTCCTAATCCCATAATTAAAAGAAATAATTAATGCTTCATTGAAACTAGGATGTTACTATTTCTTACTAAAAAGATAGTAATAAGATTTTTATTGAAAAACATGCCCTTTGACTCTGAATACTTAAAACAATTGTCATGTTTTAAACTCTACTTTTTAAAGTTATATAGTAGTTGGGATGCTATTTTAATGGATTTCACTTTTTTGATGTTTCATCTCACAAATTATTACTTTTGAATGCTTTGGTACCAGCTTAATCATTTTTGCAAAGGTGACAACAAAATACTCTAAAGAAATGAATATGTTAGTCTGCTGTTTGATCTCAATGCCTTGAAATCTTTCTCTCTCTCTCTTTCACACACACACACACAAAAACAGAGAGAGAGAGAGAGAGAGAGAGAGAGAGAGAGAGAGAGAGAGAGAGAGAGAGAGAGAGAGAGAAACATACACACTTTGAGAATAAACCTATTTGAATAGGGTGGTGGTTTCATTTAAATAAACATGCCTAAAATTCAGCTGCACAAATCTCTGCCAAGCAAACAACAGAAAACTCTGTTATATTTGGCAGACTTAACAAACCTGTAACTAGAAACTCAATTACAAAGCCCAACACTAGATTTTTCAATAAGAAAAAAAATGAATATTCAATTTATGCAAATGTTGCACATTTACAAGGTGAATAAAATTATTTTAGGATTCTCAGAGAGCCTTTAAAACTTGGAATACTACACAGGTGTAATGATATTTCTTGATATTTCTATTGTTGTTTCTGTTCCTATTTATAAATGAAATAATAGTAAATATAAATATTTAAGTGTACACTATACATTTTACATTTTAAAATCTGAATTTAATAAAACTAAAAAAATTGAATGTAAAACTATATAATTAATATTTTGTGGAGTTAGAGATATTAGTATTTGTTTACTCATATATGAATATTATCCTGGGACTAGGTTTGGGAAGTCCGGGGTGGGGTGGGGGATTTTATCTTTTATTTTGTTTATTGGATTATGATTGTTTTTTATGATGAAAAAATAATAAAAATTTTTGGAAAAAAAAACCCTATATAATTAAATACTGAAACAAAGTGGCAAAGTCTCAACATTTTCTGAAAGAGCCAGTTTGATCTAATGGTTAAGGCACCTGACTAGAAAGCTGGAGACTGTGAGTTTTAGTCCTGCCTTAGGCATGAAAGGCAGCTGGGTGATCTAGGGCCAATCACTTCTCTCAGCCTACCTCATAGGGTTGTCGTTGTGGGTAAAATAGAAGGAAGGATAACTTCATCACCTTGAGTTATTTGTAAAAATAATAAATATAAATAAGTAAATGAAAACTTGCAAAAATTATTAAGGAATGCAATATAGTTCTTTCACATATATTTAAAATATATACAATGATTTAGAATGGCAATTCATTTCCTTACTATTCTGTGGGTAAAAAAACCCACATTCATTTTTAAATTCTTGGCAAAATTGATGATAGGAATCAATATTATACACTCAAAATCTGGAGGTGACTCTGAGCCTTAACATTTCCCAGTTCTTTATAAACTGAGATAACACAGAGTCAAAATGATTAATCTGGTTTGTTGACAGCAGCAAGTATGCTCTATGCAAAAAATGGAAATATATTTTAATTCCCACAATGGATGACTGAACTGCAAAACCTGCTGGAGTTATCAGAGATGGCTAAACTGGCTGCTTTAATTAAGGAAAAAAATACAGTTTTGTTTCTACTTGGAACTTCATGCTTGAGGTGGGACTTCATGCTTGAGGTGGGAAAAAAATGAAACTTAGACTTTCGTTTTTGCTGATTAACTAGATTTGTTGTTATAGAAATGGCCAGTATATATTATTATGTAAAAGCAAAACCTGTATGTTATTGACTTATTCTACTGTGCTAAAAAGAATCAGAAGTCAATGCTTTTCTTTCTTTTTCTGCTTTTCCCCTACACTTTTTCCTCTTCCCTTTTTCCTCCCTTACTTTCCCCTTACTTTCATTTTTCTTTGTATTTTACATTTTGATAAACTAATAAAAAAATGAAATGTGACTAATCTGGTTTGCAATTTTTTTTGCAAAATATTTGATTGGGAGCTATTGTCATGGCTGCATCTCACCTATCCAAGTTTCATGAACTGACAGCCTGACATTAGCAATGGGGGGTGGGGGGAAGGGAAGGGAAAGATTGGAATGTAAGGAAAGGAGGGGATGGAAGCCCAGCTGAGTCATGTGAGAAACTCCAGCCAGCCACAGTCAAGTACCAATATGCAGAACTGCAAACTAAGCACCTGTTTCCTGAACAATATACAAGCACCTGATTGGATACTTGCAGATAACTGGAGGATGGCCGGGGATGGGGGGGGGGGTAGAGGGAAGTTTCCTTTGTGTTGTTTGCATGGGAAAACCTCAGATTCAGCTTACACTACTTCTGTAACCATTTAAGCTTCAGTAAAGTATTTTCTTGGCAAAACAAATGCCCAGGAGTCTTTCTTTGCTAGATGACTGAGTGGGACTATCCAGAGTTGATTATAAGATATGAATGTTTTAAATAAATACTCTTATTTGTGGAAATACAGTTTATTAATAAAGATAAACATAAATATTCTGAGGTAAGCATTTCAACAAGCTTTTACTGAAAGAATGTTCAAACAAAACCAATAACAAAGCATAGGCAATTAAAGAAAAGCACAAATGAAAAATGAATGAATCATGTGCAGACCACAACCATTCCCTCAACGGTTCGATTGTGGCTTCCTGCATTTGGTACTTACCACATTTCGCCAGGTATCTCAAGGCTTCTAAGTGGCCACTTTCAGCTGCTACAAATAAAGAGGTAATTCCATAACAGTTTGCAGATTCAATCTTGGCACCTCCTTGAATTAAAAGTTCTATTATTTCTAAATCATTTCGAGCAACAGCTTCATGAAGAGCCGTCCATCCACGATTGCAGCGATGGTTCACATCAGCATTGTACTGCAATAGCATCTGCACAGCTTCAGGATTTTTCCGTTCACAGGCTGTCATGTCAAAAGAAAGAAAATCTGCATGTTGAGAGCATTTATTTGATTAATTATACACAGCTACAGCACGGGCTGTACATACAAACATACCTTCCATTTATTTCTCTGGGGAGATTTAGGGAAAAAGATAATTTGAAATCCATGAATTTGTTTTTTTAAAATGGAACAAATGTATTTCTTAGGCCGAAAACAATTTTATAACCAGAAAGGTAAGAACCAGAAATTGAAATTTCAAGAGCATGTTGGGGGAATATTGGAGGGACGAAGGATGGGAATCGCTTTATTTCTCTGGCATATCCTGCTTTCAAGACACTTCATGAACATTTTATGAACATTTCCAAGCCTAAAGACACCAGGACATTCTAGCTCAAAACCGAACATGAATGAAGTTACATACCTTTATAAAGTGGGGTTTCCCTAGCTTTGTTTGCAATATCAGGTTCTGCTCCAGCCTGGAGCAATGAATGCATGCAATCAATATTCCCTCTGTTTGTTGCTAAATAGAGTGCTGTTTCTTCCTGAAGTGTACGTTGATCAATTGTCCCAGGGAAAGCTATTGAGAAAACATGGAACCACATTAAACAAAGCATACGGTGCATCTAGATATAATATTAATAGTGAGTATTATTTAGCCTTCTCCAAACTGATGTACTCCAGATATATTGAACTACAGCTCTGTTCTTGGCAGCATAGCCAAGCAGATAAATAATGTTGTAATCTAATACACCTGACTGATCAAGGCTAAAAGCTCACCCATGGCAATTACTATTAGAACCTGTATGAGATAGTAAACTACTTTAATAGATAGCATATACTGATACTTTAACATCTTTGGGACTTAATTGTTATGTGTTGTATTGATTTGCTTTTGTAGGAAGATATTATCATTGTAGAATAGCTTTGGAAAGTCCCGCTGCCTGAGTTCATCATCATCATCATCATCATCATCATTGTCATCATCCTGTCTTATATCAGTATAATGGTATAACAGATAAGATTTTCATGTACTAAGTCCACAGCTTTCTTATGAAAAAGTATTACAGACTTTTAAAATTATTAACTAAGCTGGGTTTGAATCAAAGATGCTTGCACACAAATCCTTCAATAAATGCCATGAAAACATGGAAGAAATTATAGTTATTTTAAAGACAGTCAGACAGACAGATGACTGTCATGGGATAGTCATTTATTTGTTCTGTTTTTATTTAACATTATTGTGAACTACCCAGGATTATGTTGTATAAGATAAGTAACCATATGGGTTTCTAAGTAAAAAATAAATAATGAAACTATGAAAACTTGTTTTCATTGTTATTTGCAGATAACAAACTCATTATGTTCAAATTTGGGGGAACCGTTTAAATAAAATTTGCATGTGTAAAAACAGGTTGCACATACAAGCTACTCTTCTATGTCATAATGCAACCTAATTGGTTACTTTATATAATAAAATGACTTTGTCTTTCATCCTCTCTGCAATCAGCCCCTTTCCTGATACTTGCATCTATGCAGCAGTTTCAAGCAGCCCTCTTGTCCATAATAAGCAGCTTCATGGAGTGGCAACCATCCATCTTTGTTAGGCTGTGCAAGGTTTTTTCCTGTCTGTATCATGTTCTGCAGTGCTGTTTCATCTCCTTCCTTGATCACCAACACTACAGGATCCAGCACTCTTTAAAACAAAAGGGAGAAACGATCACTTTCTCTAGAATTATTTCTGATATAGTATTTGCAAATGCCTGTTTGCTTATTTATTTATCAAGTACCATTTGATGTCACCACAATCCACAAGGATTGACAAAACGGCACAATAAGTGTAAAAGGAAAAGTGATTCAGGAAGCAAACTGAAACAAAATATTATGTAGATGAAAATATAAAATGAAATGTTACTAGTGCCAAACATATCTGTAAAAATAAAGACACCTTTAATTCAAATTCAGTTAATTTAATAACTTCAGTGATATGTCCTCATAGTTTTCTTGGCAACAGTACAAAAATGGGTTGCCATTACATTCTTTTAGGATTGTTTTGTCTTCCCAGTCTAGTCTGCACCTCTGGCATTCCCTGATGGTCTCCCATCCCACTAACTAGACCAGATCCGGCTTAGGCAAGACTGGCCAGGAGAAAACTGCAGCTGTCAAACCTGTTTTGTAAATACAGATAGTCCTCAACTTACAACAGTTCATTTAGTGACTCTTTGAAGTTACAACAGCACTGAAAAAAGGGACTTATGACAGTTTTTCACACTTATGACCGTTGCAGCATTCCCATGGTCATGTGATTTACATTTGGATGCTTGGCAACTGGTTCATATTTATGACGGTTGCAATGTCCCGGGGTCATGTGATCCCCTTTTGCAACTTTCTGACAAAGTCAATGGGGAAGCCAGATTTACTTAACAACCCTGTTACTAACTTAACAACTGCAGTGGCAAGATGTGGCAAGAAAAGTTGTAAAATGGGACAAAACTCACTTAACAAATTTTTCACCTAGCAATATAATTTTTGTCTCAATTGTAGTCATACATCGAGGGCCTATATATTACCTGTATACTAACCATACTGAGGCACTGTAGTTAATTCAACTACTAGACAACTTGCATTTATTATGGCCATAGTAGGACCCTAATCAGAGAGCTGACATCTTGCGCAACATGCTGTAATATATACATTATACTTCCTTCAAGGACTACAAAAAATTAATTACTTCTAATTATTCTATTTTGGAGTAAAATGCATTGTGGCAATGCAGCTAAGGAAAAAATATTTGGCTAAGTGGCAGTCAAAATTAATCACTAGAGAAGCCACTCATTCTTACTTTTTCTGACTCAGCTAAGTGCACCAGAAAATCCTACAATAACACCAAAACCAAATGGAGTTAACTATTAGGCTTTCAAGAGAGAGAAGCTCAAGCCAAGGTAGAAACAGAGAAGGAGGACAAGCAATCCAAGAGAGTAAAGTTTCCTTCAGTTAGTTTTGTAAATTCTTCATGAACTGCTTAATATGTCGTTCCAGCTGCCTAAACAAACCTACCTCATAAAAACAACATTTTTAACAGGAAGGGGAGAGGAAGAACTTACTCAGCCTGGGGTAAGATGAAGAAGCTGCCATCGTACCTCCGCCTGACTCCTGAACCGGATGCTGAAGTCTGGCCTCCGGACTGAGCAGCATGCCTGAAGTGATGACAGCATGAATAAAATAGCGAAAAATACCGTGAATAAGAAAAGCAAATCATATCTGGTCTTGTAAAGAAGTCAGAAAAATGAGACCGAAGAAGAGAGACAAAGAGAACCTGTAGACTTTCTGAGGCTTAAACAAAAGCAGATGGTCTCAGCTTTTTCAGGCCTTGGTCTCAGCTGCTCTTTCACTCCTAGATTATTTTTGGCCCTCGGAGGAAGTGTCATGGGATTTAAATGACCATATATGACTGCAGTGAGATTAATCCCACTACCACACAGCGGGCCGAGAAAGGGCTTGAAGGCATTTTCACTTCAGAGAGAAGAAAGGCCTGAGAGTCTTGTTCAGAAATGAAAAAAAAGAAGAGAATTCCAAGGTTGGTTCTCAGTGACAAGGCTGTGCAAAACATCTGAAAGAGCTGTTTCAGAGCTTGTCTCTTCAAGCCTCAAACAGCCACATCTTTGGCAATGCTTGTGTAACCACTCTGAATGTTGCTTCTGCTATCTGCATGTATGTATGCAGGATTTCAGATCTGTAGACAGAAAGTGCTTCAAGGTCCAAGACTCATAAACTGGCCTGGAACTCTATGAACACAACACAACTTTTCCCAATATCATGTATAGATATGGGAGGCACACACAATCACAGGAAAACGTGCAGCTTCTTTAAAAAGTTGCATGCATGTATTAGGTTTTGTCTTCCACACAAACACTCCAAAGCAGCTTGTCTGTTTCCATCTTAAGCACTGTCTAGTCCTTGAACGTAAGCAGGACTATTTTGCGTCAGTGCCAGGGACAGAATGGGGTGTGTATGCATATGGATAGAGATCTAGAGAAGCTTTGGAAGTAGCTATGTATGTCTTGCAAAAGATGTGGTTGCTTTAGTGCTTTGAAGAAGAATGCTTTGCACAACTAACTAAACCAGGCCAGGAGGAGATTGCTAAGTTGGGTCTAAATTTCATAAGCTTCCAATATCTTTTCAAGTTGCCCTTAAGATAGAATTATATCAGATGCAGCTTTTCCGGTCATCAGAGGTTTGCAATGATGAGTCGAAGCATACATGGAAGCACTCTTTAGGTATGAGCTTTAGCAAGTATTTTAATTGATTATTTTTTTAAAAAAAATATTTTGAAAGGTAAACACAATCAATACAGATATGAGTGATTTTGTTCCCCTCTCCTTACGACACAAAGATTTCCATTTTCTCTTAAAAGTCTTTTTAAAGGGAGAACCAAATGAGTAATACAACTGAATTGTGAAAGGCCATCAATTTAGGCAAGTCAGAGAAGGGGGACTCATCCATCTAAACTAAGGATGCCTGGCTCACCAGCACATTAACTGGAGGCAGCTTCATTTTTTACATCTTTCTTGCCCCTCTTTCTTCACACCCTTCAGCATGGAGGCACACAGTTTATCTAGGGCTGAGTAGCCCAACTGGCTTTTGAGTGTCATCCTGCAGCACAAAAAGTGAGGTGGGGGAAGGGAAAAGAAGCTTTCTCCATTGTCTGAACCCTGGAATACTGGTAGTCCTCAACTTAGGACCACAATTGATCCCAACATTGCTGTTGCTAAGCAAGATAGTTGTTAAGTGAGTTTTGTCCCATTTTACAACCATTCTTGCCGCAGTTGTTAAGTGAATCACTTTGATTGTTAAGTTAATAACATGGTTGTTAAGTGAATCTGGCTTTTGTTCCTTAAGTGTTACCTGACAGTGCTATTCACTTAACTGCCTACATGTTTCTTAACTAATCAATTATTTCATGTGTTTTAATTTAACTTGTTTTATGGTGAGGCCTACAGAAAGTACTACTATGTTTGACCCTGTTTTCCTAATATTTCAGAAAGTGGCAAACTGCAACTTCTGCCCAAAATTAATTCATTTAAACAATTTTTATTGTAATTATATTTTTATGTATTTATATCTTAATAGTAAGCAAAAAAAAATCAAGAACACAGGGGCATAACTTCAAACTGACAGGAGGGAAATTCAAAAGGACTGCTAGAAAGTATTACTTCACAGAAAGAGCAGTGAAAGCTTGGAACCAACTTCCAGCGGAGGTAGTGAGTCAGTCATCAGAAACTGAATTTAAACACGTTTGGGATAAACACATGTCCATCATCCGACAAAAATGTAAAAAAGAAAATAAAAAATAAAAATAATTAAAAATAATAAATAAATTAAAATGAAAACAAAAAACTCAAAGGGCAGACTCGATAGACCACTAGGTCTTTTTCTCCCACATTTCTATGTTTCTATATCCTGCCTTTATTATTTTTATAAATCACTGAAGGCAGCAAACATATCTAATACACCTTCCTACTCCTATTTTCCCCTAACGACAACCTGTTAGGTGAGTTGGGCAGAGAGAGAATGTGACTGGCTCAAAGTCACCCAGCCAGCTTTCAGCCTAAGGCGGGAATAGAATTCACAGTCTCCTGATTTCTAGCCTGGTGCCTAACTACCCTTTTTTATTTTATATTTATTACTGTTGACTACCTTCATTGCTTGTACAAATAGAAACGCAGGAGATCAATATTTTTAAAATAAGGTTAAAAATACAGGTATCTTTATGGCAAATTGTAGTTTCTAAAATATGCCTTTCAGGACCACTAAAGTAGAGACTTTGTCTGGGATTGACCTATTTTACCCATACAGAGTTCTTAAGGTAGGTGTAGAATGTTTATCTTCTCATCTGCAAAAATATCCCTTTGGGCAAGGGATTAGGGACAATTGATATCCCTTTCCCATAGTACAGGATACATACACCTAATTTTCTCATTGCAAAGCATACAAGAAAAATGTAAAGATTAATGGTGCTGTATTGGCCTGTTTGTTATGATGATCCAAGACAGCTGGATAAAGGCTGCTAGAGTTGAGTCAAATATAAATTCTGTCAGAGTAAACAACTTGTGAGTGGAGTCAATATTACCTCTGGATCACCTTGAGAAACCCAACTGTTCCCTTTATTTAAAGATAGAACTGTCTAAGCCACACACTTTGCTCTCAGTCTATAAACTAGCCTACTGCTTCAGGTATGCTGGATGACACTTTACAGTCAATAGTCCTGCATTCATCTAATCCAGGGGTCCTCAACCTTGGCAACTTTAAGACTTGTGGACTTCAACTCCCAGAATTCCTCAGCCAGCAAAGCTGGCTGAGGAATTCTGGGAATTGAAGTCCACAAATCTTAAAGTTGCCAAGGTTGAGGACCCCTCAGAAGATCATAAATTAGATCTACATGTGTGTTTACCATTTTAAATGACATTGTTACTTAAGACTTAGCTGATCCCAAATGTTGAGGGATCAGATTAGACCAGGACAGTTATGGGGAGCATTGGAGTCTTGCCCATATGTGACTATATCTCAGAACAGGCAATTTGGAAAACTATATTATCTTTGGGTATTCAGATTCTCTCTCTGTCTCTCAGTGTGAGAAGCATCTTTACTGTGAATATGAAAGACTTTTTGATAGCTGCTCCCTAAACTTCAGAATTGTTTGTCAAGAGCAGGGGTATCAAACTGCCAGCCCGCGGGCCAGATGCGTCATCCGGAAGCCGCACCCACCCCATTGCCGGCAATGGCAAAACTGTTCTGATTCGTTGCGTGACATCACGTGACGTCGCGAGTTTGACATGTCTGGTCAAGAGAGACTAAATTAATCTTATCTCTTCCTCCATCAACTAATAGAAAGAAGGCTACTCATTTGCTGCTGAATTAGATTTAAACTGATGGCTTAGGGTTTTGTTTTTGTTTTTTTTTAAAGTTGTGTTTTAGTTGTATTTGAATGCAAGATCATACTTTTTTATTTCTAGAAATCTATAGTATGATGTTTGGGGGGAAGACAGAATATGGAAGAATTATACTGAAAATGGATGATTTAAGATTAATTATGAATGCAAACCTGGCAAGTAAAGGTTTTAGAGATAAGGAAAGTGTGATCCATAATATGTGCTGATGTATACCTATCAGCAGTTCCAGTCGGTATGACTAATAGGGGGTATACTGGGTGTTGTAATTCAACAGAACTTGGAAGGTTGTAAGCCCTCATACCTGAGTGAGAAGAAGAATAATTTAGCTTTTCTTATTACAAAGGAAATCCAGATTCAGATAGAGTGACTATGGAAGAATCCCCAGATTATAATTAGGGGAGTGAGGGAGAATACTTGCATGAGAAAGAGCCATGCCTTTTGTCATCTGGAACCTAACTCAGGGCCAAGCTGCACATTATATTGAACATCCTTGGAACATCTCTGAAAATGTTCCGGTCAGTACAGGTAGTCCTCAACTTATGACCACAATTGAGCCTAAAGTTTGTGCTGCGAAGTGAAACATTTGTTAAGTGAATTTTGCCCCATTTTACAATCTTTCTTGCCACAGTTGTTAAGTTAATCACTGCAGTTGTTAAGTTAGTAACACGGTTGTTAAGTGAATCTGGCTTCCCCATTGACTTTGCTTGTCAGAAAGTTGCAAAATGGGATCACATGATCCTGGGACACTGCAACCGTCATAAATATGAGTCAGTTGCTAAGGGTCTGAATTTTGTTCAAGTGACTTTGGGGATGCTACAATGGTCATAAGTGTGAAAAACAGGCATGCCATTTTTTTCAGTGCCATTGTAACCTTGAACGGTCTCTAAACGAACTGTTGTAAGCCGAGGACTACCTGTATAGAACTGGCTGGAGAAAATTTTATATTTGAAATCAAAGGTGGCGCAGGAAGACATGCCTTAAAGCAGAATGAGCAAGTGTCACAAAGGACCAGTGGCCTCCATCATACCAGAAAATGGCCATTTTAGAAGAAGCATGGCACACAAGTTTTTCCTCTATCTTGCTGCCACCCCCTCCATAACTGTTGCCTGGAGCAATTGCTTTATTCGGCTTAATATTTATTGGGGAAGTTCCACAAAGCTTCAAGAAAACAGTATCAGAAAAAGATGTAACACTGAGGTGTAGACACAGTGCAGCATTCTGTTCTGAGTTTTCTGTCATTTCTGCTTTCTCCCTGGCTTGCTTACCTTTCCCAAGGATAAAGGTAGAAATTCTGACAGTAAGGTTCACTGGGAGGTGGAGCTGCAGTAACTGTCTTCTGTGCAGCTATTTGCTCAGCATGATCCTCTGTCAAACTCTGTTCAATGGCCATCTGAATAAGTTCATCCTCACTCATGCTGCTGTACAGGCTATATTCCTCATGTCCAATCGTACCTGCTCTTGCTACGGTAACTTGCGTTGTCATTTTCCACTTTCTTGTCAGTCAGAAGGGCTGGTTAAAAATAACCCTGCAATGCATATAAATACAAGTCACATATCTTATCATGGTGAATTACATGGACTCACAAGCAATACTTCACTCCCCAGTTTCCAGGCACTGAAAATGTGATAACAGATGAAGGCTGACTTCACGCCTGATTTTGAACCTAAAACTTGTGGGCATCTCAGGGAGAACATCATCTGTGACCCTTCCCCCCAAAAAAAATAATTACCACTGAATGGTAACTTTTGATATAAAAAAGGGGAGAAATTATTACATGATTTAAAACTTTATCTCATCATAGTAATTATATTTAATTAGTTTAAAGACAATTTAATGTAATTTAAATGCATTTAATTTCAATCTTCTTCCCATCTTTTATCGTGATCAAACATTTTTACTTGTGGAAATGGTTTCTTGACATATCATTTAAAAAACAAGTGACACAGGATTTTTCTATATGCTCCTCATGGATCATCTTAAATTTACAATTATCTTCTTTGGAATAAATATGGTTTTCTCTTTTATTCTTTTAATTTTTAAATTAAACTTGTACAACTTATAAGTAGTTGAAATGACTATCTGATTGATTCATGGTTTTTTTTTATTATTATTGCTGTTGTTAATTTTCTTATTCATTTGATTTATAGCCCACCTTTTTTCAGCTCAATGCAATATATATTATCTGCTTCTAATTTCAAGTCTAAAAAAGGATGTTATTGGGATAATTACATTACTGATCTAAAAGCTTCTCGTTAGTCTGATCTAACAGATAGAATGTTTGATTATGTTAGGGGAAACCCTGTTTCAACTCTATAATTGGCCATAAAAATTCATTAAATGACTGGGTTTATCAAAACATTTCTTGGAATAATTAAAAAGTAACATGAATAAATGTATTTTCAAAACTTGGACTATTATTTAGTTTGTTCTCCCAGTGCCTTCATATCAGTTTTGTTGTTGTCCAAATTGTTGTTCAGGCATTCAAGCCATGTGATGGTTCTGGTAAAACGTTAATCCCCACTGACATCACTCAAATGATATCTTTCTCTGGCAGATACTTTTGCATTCTCAAGCTCTTGTGTTTTGAATGCCTGAACTTAACCTGAGGAAAAACAGAAGGCGTGTGGACGAAAATCATTGGGTTAGACCAAATAAATGACTCTGTTGCCTAGATGAGTCATATAGTAAGTGATAATTCTACTCTACATTTCCAGTTCAAAATTTACCCCAATATGTCTTGAGGATATGGAAGTATTCTTAATGGAAGCAATGTATTCAGAGCAGTTTCTTCTGAGTTTTTCATGCATATGGTCTGACTGGAAATAACTAGAAACAGAATGCTGAGTCTCAAATCAGATTGGTAGTCTTCCTGTTCATAATGAGTGTGCCTGTGGTGAATTGTATTGGTCTGGTTTTCCAAGAGGGAGAGGATGCTTTTCAGACTAAGAGACAGCTCAGTTCAGATAGTTTGTGTGAGACAAAGAGGCTAAAGACAGGCCCTACTGTCCTAAAGTATAGTCTTGTGTAAATAGAGTAATTTGGCAAGATTCTGTCTATAGGTATGGAATAATAAAGAAATCTGCTTGGGAGAATCACTATATATTGTTCTTGGATTTGGGGGCCTGATCGATATGAAACTAGCATTTGAGATTTGGGGCAAGTTCATTCTTGATTGAGGGCTTTCCCCAAATATGTCCTGGAAACCTCATTTATCTATGCCTTCATCTTAGCCCCATCCTATATCTGGGACCCTTCTGAATTGTCCTTAACTGTTCCAGTGCTAAAGCAATGTTTTTCCCCATGGCAATTTTATTGTGGGTATAATCTGATATGCATACCATTCTCCCTACTTCTGGTACTACAACCCTAGCCCTAACCCTAACCCTTCAGGACATTTCTGGTTTGGGCAAAGGGAAATTCAGGTGTTTTCAAACCAGTTATGTTTCTCGTAACTCATAAATCAGCCAGTTTCTGGATTAAAAACTGACTCTCCCCATTTACTTGCCTTTCCCCCCAACCCAGGCAACTGATTCTCCTGCTGGAAGAGGTGGAAGGTAAGGGAGGAAAGCCAGATCTTTAAAGCACCCAGATGTCCATAGGATTGGAGCCCAGACAGTAGAAGTTGGTTCCCTTTCTTCAACTGCCTCCTTTCTCAACACTGGCAGCTGTTTCCCAGGCAGGGAAAAGTTGCAAGTGAAGGGGTAGAATTGCTATTTTCTAATCAGGTCAAGATGGCTGGCACTACACCAGTCAGCTATTAGATGGGTTTCTTTTGCATGTGGGCTTAGCTGTCTTTCTTTGCCATTCTGATTTGCTGCACAGCCACTCTGTTTCTAGCCAGCTGTTAGGCAGGTGTTTTTTTAACCTATTCATACAAACTGGGAACACATTTTGCTAATCTAGCTAACTATCAAAACTTGCCTCCTCACTGGCCCACCTCCCATTTCATATTATAGAAATGGTTGATGGTGGCATTTGCTGGGAAGGAAGTGAAACAAAATCAGGAGAATCTACTCTGAACAATATGTGTATATATTGGTTTTTGGTTTTGAGAGATATATATATATATATGAATGCTTTTTCTTTAGTGCACCCTGTTGGCCCCCAAATATGGGAGAGAGAAGTCTTTGGGGGCCGACAGGGTGCACTAAAGAAAAAGCATTCATCCTCTTCCCCTGTGTCTTGTAGCTAACAAAGTGAGAAAGAGCCTGTGGCCTAGGGGCTAACACATCTGCTTAACATGCAGACAGCCCAGGTTCGAATCTCAGAAGGGTATGTCTGGCTGATGAGAACTAAATAAAGTTCGAAATAGCTATCCCAGTACTCCCTTAATTCTTTGTTAGCAATCCAAATTTTGAAAAACACATATGATGTCGCAGTTAAGCGACTGCTGCCTGTGGATGGCTCTAGGTTGAGCTGATACAGGCAAAAGACTTCTCTCTCCCATATTTTGGGGCCGACAGGGTGCACTAAAGAAAAAGCATTCATCCTCTTCCCCTGTGTCTTGTAGCTAACAAAGTGAGAAAGAGCCTGTGGCATAGGGGCTAACACATCTGCTTAACATGCAGACAGCCCAGGTTCGAATCTCAGAAGGGTATGTCTGGCTGATGAGAACTAAATAAAGTTCGAAATAGCTATCCCAGTACTCCCTTAATTCTTGGTTAGCAATCCAAATTTTGAAATATATATATGATGTCACTAGTGGCTGCAGAAGCAAGACAAGGATTGGCAATGGAAGTAGCAAATATTGCACTGGTATGATTTTCTAGACTGTTGGATAGTACTTTGATAGATGGGCAATCAGATAAATTTGTTAAATAAATAAATCAGCAAGGATAAACCCATAGTGCCAAATTAGAAGCAACATGATAGCCATATGTATTTTATGCATTCATTGTCCCAGTTACATATAACACAGTTTTCCTATTCAGAGTGTTTGTGTATGACCGTGTGTATATTACTAGGGAGAATAATCCCCTGCTCCCTTGCACTGGATTCTGATGCTTTGCACTATTTTCTGCATTCACAACCCTGTTTCAGTATGTAAAAAGTAAATCAGGGAAGGGATTTATCTATTTTCTTTCATCATTCACTGCTTTTTATGCAAAGGGCACAGGCATACGGTCAGTTTTACCATCATACATGTTTTGTTATAAACTCTGTAAATTAGATGGATGTTTCTCTCAAATGTTGAAAAGTTTCTGGGAACCTGAAAGGAAGATTCTTGGAGGATGTCATCCAGTGGTGGGATTCAGCCAGTTCGCACCACTTGGGCAGAACTGGTAGCTAATTTTTTGTTGCCCAGGCCCAGAATGGACCTCCGGAAGCGGCATCCACACAGAGAACTGGTTGTTCACATATTTGAATCCCACCACTGATGTCATCACACAAGCTTTCTTCCCAAGGCACAGAAATAGAGAGAAAAATGACTACTATAAACTTAGGAAAATGCACTTTGATGAAGAAATAAATATTAAAAGATTGGCAGATTTTTTTAAAAAATAAAATATAAAAACAGATTATTCCCATTAGTTGATATTTTCAGAGGATTGTATGCTTTCTACAGAATCAGAAGGGGCCTCTTATTAGTGCTATCACAAATCAACTTTCCCTCTTTCCTTCCCACTCATCGTCTCTAGGGTTGTGTCACTTTTAAAAATATTCTGCTTGGGTCAGGTTGCAACTGGCATTTGCCAAGTATTTCATATGACACACAAAACAAAATAAACAGCTTGCAGCAGGTCACTGTGTGAAAAGCATTGCATAGCAAAACTTTCCTTTTAGTAGGTACAGTGTTGCTTGCTGTTTTGTAACAGCAATAAAACAATTATCTGGATACCCTGGAAAAGTTGCACACTAAACAGCATAGTGGCTTTAAATGTATCCAAATCCAAATAACATGATTTGGAGACAAAGCTGAGTTTGGCATAAAAACTAAACTTTGGAGGAGTAGCATAGCCCCTAGATGCCACTGAACTAAAATTCCCAGCATCCATAGCTGATTTTGCTAGTAAAAAAAGGGTAATGGAAGCTGCAAAAAAGGATAATGGGAGCTGTCATATCATTATGTTAGAATTTTGACTCATCCCTTTGTGGCAAGCTCCATCAACTCAATAACTGTTTCTGTTTTGGACAAAGATGTCTATGGGGTTTAGATCTAAACTTTGACAAGGTCCTTCAAAAATCCTGAATTCTTTCTTCTTCCTCTATTCTCTTGTAGACTTGCTTGTATGTTGACTTGCTGCATGGCCCGCTTAACACTTCAGCTTCAGCCAACAGAAATGGGCTGACATTGTTCTTAGAATTCTTTGATACATATTTTTCAATGACGGTGAAGTCATCTACCTTTTGAGATAGCAAAATATTACAGAATAAAGAATAATGAAATAATAGAGTTGGAAGGGACCTTGGAGGTCTTCTAGTCCAATCCCTTGCCCAAGCAGGAAACCCTATACTATTTCAGACAAATGGTCATCCAATTTCTTCTTAAAACCTCCAGTTTTGGAGCACCCACAACTGCTGAAGGCAAATCGTTCCACTGATTAATTATTCTGTCAGGAAATTTCTCCTTAGTTCTAGGTTGGTTCTTTCTTTGATTAGTTTCCACCCATTGCTTTTGTCCTGCCTTCAGGACAACAATGATACTACGACCTTAAAGTTTCACAGCTGGTATGAAACTACTTTAAGATGTGTGGACTTCAACTCCTAGAATTCTCCAGCCAGCATGCTGTGCATTTAATATCCTTCTCCCCTTTCTCTTTTTCTGCAACAGCTTAACTTGCAATCCTGCTTTCTATGAAATACTCACATCTCTCTTTAATAACAATGGAACTTCTTCTGCTCACTTGAATATAGGATTCCACCTTGATATATACTGAACAATTTCTTTATGTGGTGGGAACTGTAATGCACCCAAAGAGCTACAACCATTGAATTAACTTCTGTGTCTATTTTAGAGGGATTCACTGTGACTGCATGTACATCAGAATGAAATGCATTACTTTTTGACTGCAGATTGGACAAGGAAGGATTGGAAATCATTCCATAAGCATAAGATTTGTGCATTTCTATCTCACTCATTTCTTTACTTAGATGTAATTTCTTATATTGCTCTAAAATCAGCATAGTAAAATTGGCCCTCAATTCTGTTTTCCTATCTTTTCTTACATTCCCCCTGAGCCAGCTTATTGTTGTTGCTGGTATAGCTTTGCTTTATACATGGCGCAAAGCCATGCATTACTTAACTCTAATTTATAATTGACTAGGTTTTCATGATATATAAAGACACAGCAGAGGTTTGTAAACCACAATGTTTGGGATTACATATACTAAACCAAACCGAATAAACCAAATTTGATTTAGTGTACTATATGAAGCATGGACATACAACAGTATGTAAGCTGTTGTTTATTGTCCAAGACTACACACTGCATAAGCCATAATTTTCCAAGCATTTGATTTCCAAACACAGATATTAATTTGCAGATTTCTCAATCCAATGTCTTCAGATGAACTGAATAACTTGTAGATCAAGAACTGCCAAATATATTTACAAGTTGGGTCAGCACAAGTAGGGCAGTTCCTGATGATGAAACATTTCTGAGTAAATAAACTCCATCCATCCTCAGCTGCCTAAACAGCTGTTTATGAAGTAAAGTTGGCACATCACTTGGTGCAACAGGTTTTTTGCTCTATTATACCACTTATCACTACATCCATTCACCTACACCATTGATGTAAAGAGCTAAAACTATCTGAATAAAATAAATTGCAACTTAAAATGACTTTTCCTCTTGTCTGCGAAATGGATTTAGTAACTGGAAGACGTTCATATTCCCCATAATATATTACAGAAGTAGCTCCTAGAGAAATGCACATAGATATGTACATTATGGAAAGTAATCTAAATTCAAAATAATATATATTTCAAAAGTATGACATTTGTCCTGCTACTGCATATGTAAATTCTTTCTTCTAGCTAATTCATTACACTTCAGCATTTGGAGAGAAGAAAAATTAGGCATATTGCATACAATATTAATCCTGGACTTAAATAATAATCTTAAACCATGCATGATTACCTTGTAATTTGTAGAAAATTGTTTACTGCAGACTTGTTTTTTCATGGACTATTAAATCAGAATATTCCCTTTTGGAAGCATTGCTCTCCTGTCTCTCTGTGTTGATAAAATGCAGAGCAGCTTTGAACTTTCTCCTGCTTTGAAGTCTGGAGTTTATTTCTGGATCACCCCATGATCAACATTTGCAAGCCAAAATGTAAGTTGTTCTGCATATCAAATTTCCTGTCTGAAGTTTGAAACAAAATGACTTGTTACTTCTCTTTAGACTTCTTTCTGTAGCATTATAATTTGTGGAACTTCACTTTGCCCAACTTCCTTTCACTAAATCCTACAAAGCCAGCCTTTTTATTATGTCATTATTTATTTGCTATCCCGGACAAGTAGGCCATATATGGCCATGCTGCTGATGGTGAAAGGAGGAAAAATTGCCTGTGATTCTCATCTGTTTCATTTATATCCCTGGCTTTCTCTAAGATTGTTTCCTGATATTTTTAAGACTCCAAATTCCATCAATGAGAGCAAAGAGGTAATAGATAATGGGAGGACTAAAAATTGGCTGAAAGGTTTTAAAGAATGGAAAAAAAATGCTGTCTCAGCTTGGGACAGTTCACTAGATAAGATGTAGGACAGATCCCTACATCTGAATGAACAAACTCTGAATTCTATAACAACAACAGGTGTTACTCACCATTTTTCATCGTAAGAGCAAAGTACCTAGAAAATTAGCAATTTTGCATTTGAACTCTTCAAATTTTAAAAAATATTTAAGTGTTTGCATTTTAGGTAAGACTTTTAATCCAATTGGATATAAAAAATGGATAGTGTTGAAGATTTTGTTCACATGTTGGGCTAAGCAAGATTTATTAGTTATCCACAATTAGTTAAGGCACAACCATGGTCTTTAATTCACAATGCCCCAAGCTAAAAATAAACAAAATACAGTTTAGTTTGATGTGTAAACCAACCGTTGTTTTTAAAAAAATCACAGACTTAAAATGAAAATAGGAAAAGATTGTAGGTAAAAGCTGTTATCATCTACCCAATTCCCAGGGACTCAGTTGTAACAATCCTCTAAAACAGGCATGCTGGCTGAAGAATTCTGGGAGTTGAAGTCCACAAGTCATAAAAGGGCCAAGTTTGAAGACCCCTGCTCTATAGCAGGACTTTTCAACCTTTTCATCCATTGTACCACTTTTAGGATATGGCAACATCCGAGTACCACCAGTCGCCTAACAAAGTGTCAAAAACTTGATGACAAAAAAAAAAGGGAAAAAGTGATAAAGTACAGGTAGTCTTCAACTTACAACAGTTCACTTAGTGACTGTTCGAAGTTACAGTGGCACTGAAAAAAGTGCCCCCCAAGACACCTGCCTGCCTGCCCGGCCATGCTCTTCCTCCTGTCCGAGGTTTTCATTGTTGTGAGCATTTCTGTTGAGGATTGGCAGCGGGGGTGGGGTGGGGTATTTGGTTTTTATTCCCCCCATCTGCTGGGTGGTTGCAGCAGGTTTTGGTCACTTCAGATAACTCAGGGACACTGTGACCATCATAAATATGAATCAGTTGCCAAGCATCTGAATGTAAATCAAAAGACCCTGGAGATGCTGCAACATTCCAGCTGATTGGTGCGTCTTCTGGGCTCAGCAGAAGCGCCAGGATCAGCGCTGAGCTCCAGCTGGAGCCTGTCATTGATCCTGATGCTTCCGCTGAGCCCTGACAGTCCCGAAGAAGCGCCGATCAGCTGGAAAGCGGCACTGATCCTGGTGCTTCCACTGAGCCCTGACAGCCCTGCAGCTCCAGCCATCTCTCACTCAGGCTTGTGTGGTGCCGCCACCGGTTCAGCTCATTCCCCTCCCCCGCTACCACTTTTCTAGGATGGTCGCGTACCACCTGCCAGGTGCCAATGTACCACAGGTGGTACCTGTACCACTGGTTGAAAAGCCCTGCTCTATAGGATTATTTTAATGAAAAGAGGGCTTTACTTTAATAAATAAATAAAATACATCTTTAGAGGGATAATCGTGTTATTTTGATGTAACAAAACTGACACCACCATATTCCAGCTTAAAAATTACTACTACTAGTATTCTGGGTGTCTCAGAACAAGCAACAAAAAATATATAATAAAATTAATAAAAAAAATAATGCCATGACGAAATGAGATAGATAGATAACCTTTATTGTCATTTTTTTACTGTGGGCACAATGGCACAGATTAAAAATGAAATTTAGTTGCTTGCTCTCAAAGTGTATACATACATAACACACATGTAAACATACTATATACAACATATGTATAGACCTACACTCTTACATATAAGTAACATATAAATATTAATCACTGGGCCCTGGGAGAGATATTGTATGTAATATGTTCTTTACCTGGTGCCACAAGATTTTGACGTTTCTTCAGAATAAGCCTGATCAAACAATATGGCTTTCCTTTAAATAGACAGCTTCTCTGTCTCAAATTTTATAGTTTTATTAATTTATAATATAAAATACAAAAATGCAAAATCAAATAGTAGGAAAAATAAGGGAGGGAAAGGGGAAAGGAGAAGTGTAGAAAAGAAGGGAGAAGAGGGAAAAAAAGGCATTGACTCCCGAATCCCTCGAGTACAATAGAATAAAACAGTAGCATCAAACCTCAAATTTTCACTTTAACATAATAGTATAAACTAGCCATTTCTATAACAACAAATCTATCTCATCACTTTAAGAATTTTCTGTATTACAGTATAAATCCTACGCTAATATTTCTTTGCTTTGCTTTTTCTCTGTCTCAATCATCTATATTTATTCCTATTTTCTTAAAATTCAGCTTGATAAAAAAAAGCTCTACAAAGTTATTCTGTTTTGTTAACAGAATTCAGTAACATTTGGAGTATGTTAATGATGGAAACATAGACTTTATTAATATTCTTCTTTGAATTAACATTCTTTCTTGTTTGTTTTCTGAAAACCTTGTGCAATGCAATGTCTTAGATATGATATTTCATACTGTTACTAGAACAAAATGTAGGCCATCATTCCTGAATTCAAGGCATGCATCTATCAAGGAATGCATCTGCTAGTCTTTGAAATCTGCTGGCTGCGCAGACATCATTGGTTGTATAGGGGAACTCAGAGGCATTATTTTCCTTGGATATATCAAATCCAGCTGACCATCAGTGGTGAAACGTCAGACTATGGGAAGTATTTATTTGTGCTAAGGCAAGACCTTCCAAAAACGATAAAGGACATTCTTAAGATTGTACTAGATCACTAAGCATTAAAAAAATCTGCCCTTGGTTCCTGCGCCTCAAGGCTGCACAACAGACAACAGTCTGAGGTGAGCCAAAAGCAAAGCAGAACTGAAAACAAAAGACAAAACAGGAAGTGGCACTCAGAAACAAGCCAAAAGTTCATATGGATGAGAAAAAGGACGCAGAAACACAAACCCTCTTATACACTTTTCTGTCCATGAGTGGTCAGTGGCCAGTTTGAATAGTCATTAAGAAATTTTACTGAGAAGATGAATCCCTTCACACCATGAAGGTAGTACACGTGCTTGTACCTATTCACACCCCTAGACCAAGAATTGAGAGGGCATTCCATTTATTTCTGTGACCAAGCAGTTTATCATTGTCCATTTTATAATTGCAGAATGGGGGTGATTTTCCTCTTGATCTGAAAAATTTCATCCCTTGATCTCTGTTGCTTGAGTTTACAACTTGACTAGATGCAAGTCTAGGAAAATATTAAATATGACTTTCTTTTCCAACACTAGGGTAGCGTTTGTTTTTTAAATAATCAAACAGTTCTTTCACCATTACTGAAAACCTTGAGGCTTTAGCAATAAGCAAAGTTATGGAATTAGTAAATCAATTATAACTTAATTATTAATCATCTAAAATTCACCAATCAGTTGATAAATTTGCCTTTAAAGTAAATGTGCTTGTACTTTTATTGAAAATCTCACAATGTTAATCTATTTATATCTATTTACAATAAATCCCATTAGGTTTGACACTCACTCTCATATAAGCAATTATAGAACTGCATGCTTATTTCAGAACATGAAGTTAAACATTATTTCATATATATATATATATATATATATATATATATATATATATATATATATATATATATATATATATATATATATATATATATATATATATATATATATATATATATATATATATATATATATATATATATATATATATATATATATATATATATATATATATATATTAAACAAATAAAACCGAGCACCAAGAGAAGTAAAGTATAAAAGTTTAAAAATTTACTGAGCCAAGCTTTCGTCAGAACCCGTCTGACATCATCAGGGCGTTAAAACAGCAGTCTGGGAGAAACCCTTATAAAGTGTGTGTGTCAATTGCTTGCATCCGGCTTCTGCTACGCGTCATCGGACCCAGCTGCTCCTGCCGT